CTCGCAGCCACCATGGCTAGGATTATATGTTTGAATTGGTGGGTATAAGAAAACAGAACTCAATTGACTGCAATCTGCATTTTACCTCACACAAACTATCAAAATAATCGTTTGTGGCAGCCCTACTGGCATTACGTATTTAAATGCAAAATATGAGTAACTGTAACTTCTGTTACCATTTAAAAAGGTGATATTCAGAATACATTTACTTTGTTGAAATAAATGGATTACACTGCAGTTTCTTCCTGTTTCATATGTTCTTTTCTTCCTTCCTCTTTATGGAAGACGGCTCCATCAGGCTGCTTTCTCCACTCCAGAGTGACTCCATTCAATCCTTTCTCATTCAGTTTGTCCTGCAGCTGAAACACAAACCATACATATTTTGTAACAAACCTCCAGTGACAAAAAAAATAACAAAAAGACATTTTTACCTCACAAAAATGCTGCTTCTAACAGCAAAAGTTAGGTTATGTTCGACATAGAAGGATTTGCAAATTACCAAACAAGCAATTACTGTCAGTAGTTTGTTCTCCTACACTGATTTATTTCTCAGCATTTATTTATCATTTATCATTTATTGCTCACAAACCTTTCACATCAAAGTACCAACAATACCTTTGTCATTCAGAAAAACTATTCATTTGTAAATGTCAGAATTTTATAAACATTCCTCAGCATTGAAAATGTCATATTTTTTCATATTTACATGAAATGCAGAAGCCCACTCATAAATACTATGAGCAAGGGTCAACCCAGTGTGAAGACCATCAGTAACTAAAAGTAACAATATCCTAAAACACATCATGGCGTTTACTCATCCTGAATCAAACTGAATATCATCCTTATGAAATCAGACTTGACCTGAGAGCATAAACTAAGGAAAGTATTTACTAAAGTCATGGACCAGGTAAGAAATGGCATTTTCCCATAGATCTTTATACAGTCAGACCTCCCTTTGCAATCTGAAGTCAATCAATGCAGCCTGATCAGTCAATGAAACATTTTAAAATTGATAAGAAAAAAATATAAAGTATCTTATCTAAGAGTTTAAAATATCATTATACTTAAATAATGCTGAAACTGTGTAATGACAGATTGAAGGACTGGGTATTTCAAAGTGATCACAGTATGCAAATTGTTGAATTATGCGCCTGTAAGCCTCACAGTGCCTAAACTTAAATATAGAG